TAATGGTATACAATTCTTGTTCAGTGATAACATTACCAATTGAACGATAATGGTATACAATTCTTGTTCAGTGATAACATTACCAATAGAATGATAATGGTATACAATTCTTGTTCAGTAATCACATTACCAATGAAATGATAATGGTATACAATTCTTGTTCAGTGATAACATTACCAATAGAATGATAATGGTATACAATTCTTGTTCAGTGATAACATTACCAATAGAATGATAATGGTATACAATTCTTGTTCAGTGATCACATTACAACTAGAATGATAATGGTATACAATTCTTGTTCAGTGATCACATTACCAATGGAATGATAATGGTATACAATTCTTGTTCAGTGATCACATTACCAAAGGAATGATAATGGTATACAATTATTGTTCAGCAATCACATTAACACTGGAATGATAATGGTATACAATTCTTGTTCAGTGATCACATTACCAATAGAATGATAATGGTATACAATTCTTGTTCGGTGACAACATTACCAAAGGAATGATAATGTTATACAATTCTTGTTCAGTGATCACATTACCAATGGAATGATAGTGGTATACAATTATTGTTCAGTAATCACATTACCACTGGAATGATAATAGTATACAAATGGAACAATGATCAAATTACCACCAGAGCAATTAAAATCCACAATTCTTGTTCAATGATCAATTACCACCAGAATAATTAAAATCCATGATTTTTTTTCAGTGGTAACATTACCACCAGGAAGATCATTGTCCAAAATTCTTGCTCAGTAATGATATTAAACAACCACAGTGATAAAAATACTACAATTCTTGTTCTGTCATTATATTCCAGTCAGAATAACACAAATCTAAAATGTTTACTTTGTAAATATATGAACACCAGAATAGTTTTGTTTTATTTTAAGAATGTCACATCCACAATAACTACAAATATCAGAAATATTAGAACCACAGATAAAAAAAGAACCCTCCATAAACTAGTGACTTAATTATCTTATAAAAGATTATAATTTAAAAATAACAAAATTAGAAACAAGTCACGTTTAGATTTCTCTTTTTATCCTTCATAAACAAGTGACTTCATTATTTTATTAAAGATTATATATAAAAATAAAAAAATTAGAAACAAGACACATTTAGATTTCTCTTTTTACCCTTCATAAACAAGTGACTTCATTATTTTATTAAAGATTATATCTGAAAATAAAAAAATTAGAATCCAGTCACATTTATATTTTTCTTTTTATTATAGCCAACTGTTCAACTTACTATTTAGCCACTGTTTTCATACTTATTTATTTCCAACATACTTTCATGCACATTGCTTACCTGATTTGAAAATTTATTTTTGGTAGTTGATAATTATATATAAATGTTTTGATTGGTGATGCTGTTAAAACAACATATATAATAACAAACTGTGTTTAATTAGACAATTTAAATAAAGTTTTAAGGTTAGCCTGAATGTTTTATTAAAAGGTATGCAAGCACTAATACATTTTGATTGATCTGGATATTTTGTTAAGATGGATACAAGTAGTAACACATTTTGTCTGGCTTGGATTTGTTACTGATATGTATAAAAATATAAGAATGTTTTTGGTTGGCCTGGATATTTTACTAGAGTGTACACAACTACCAACACATTTTGGTTGGTGTAGATATTTTATTAAAATGTACACAAATATCAACACATTTTGGTTGGTGTAGATATTTTATTAAAATATACACAAATATCAAAGTTGGTTGGAATGTTTCACTGAAGTGCGTAATTACATCTCTTAGTTTATCTGGATGTCTTAAAACCTTCTCATTATGGGCTTAGCTGATTCGACATAATTCGTAACCCCAAAGGTAACCATCACTTTCCATACTGTAACTTTAATATGTTTTGTGTATTTTCATGAAATCTGGCAAGCTTTCAGTAAACATTACAAGTCTTTTGTACTCAAAAGATCAAATTTTTTTAATTAAGTATTTTTACTGAAAATTTGTCAGTCAATATATGAAGTTAGAGTGTAAACTGCTCCAAGTGCAAAGTGATTTTTATATTAAGATTAGAAATACTTTTCTTCACCTGAAAATTGTCAAATTTCATTTGCATGGTCTCTAAAACCTTCTAAACAAATATTAAACGTTTTTTCTGTAAAACTTTACATTTTATCTGTTATTTTCTCTACCCTAACTCTATGTGCATTTAGACAATTTGACCAACCTTGTAACCATCATAAAAATATGAAATAAATCTAAATTACCCTTTTTTTCTTTCCAGAATGACTGCAAATTAAAACAGGAAACTACAATTGTTTATCCTAGATAGTTTAAAGCTCATAACAGTCTACACCTTTTTATACTTACATTTTATTGTCCTTTGGCCTGTGTCTAACTAATAATCCAACTACATGAGTCATAAATTACCCAACAAATGAATAGTTCAAGTTACTGTATTGAAATACGTAATGCATGAGCTGCTTGCGGACACATCTTATGACAATTTATTTTTCATTATATTATCTAATCTAACCTAATACACGAGGGGAGAAAATTACGAACTTAAAACTTATATGATATTAAAATTTGATTTATTATCTATGTTTTGATGCAAAGTTTACTTGTAAACAATGATAATAAAGTAGTTGGATGTAACTCTTTACAAGATCATGACATGTATTTTGACCTACCCATAATGAGATGGTTAATAAGGTGTATATAATAATTTATGGTTTTTTACTATCTTATGATTGACCAGGTTGTTTATGAACGTGTGCCATATCTTTACTGATTATTTTGATCAGAATTTCATGAACTCCCAAGCACAAGCAAGCAGAGCATTACAAAAAATACAAGTTACTTTAAATATGATAGAATAGTACAGTTTGAAAGACTATTAAAATCAGAAAAAGGATTATAATTTACAACACAGAACCAAATACTTAATGTTCCTGGATTACACTGAAACATTATAATACCAGTATCCATAATCCCACTTGAAATATGATAGAATAGTACAGTTTGAAAGACTATTAAAATCAGAAAAAGGATTATAATTTACAACACAGAACCAAATACTTAATGTTCCTGGATTACACTGAAACATTATAATACCAGTATCCATAATCCCAACTATATATCTCACAGTTTAGCCAGCCCAAGAAGTTTAAGTTAGTTCTCAATCCACAAAAGCAGCTTTTACATAAGTATCAAGTAAAATAACAAAAAACAAACAGCCATTACTTACAAGTCACACGAACATGAGTTATTCCTTCTTTAAACTGACAAAAGATATTGACAGTCAGCTTATGTGTGCTTGCAACAAAAAATGTTAAACATCTCAACCCCAACATAAAATAGAAACCTAAAACCAACACATAACACTAGTCAGTATCTCAGAGATGAGTACTAACCTACTAGTATGACTTGAAAAACGTTTTGATATAAGGTATTTTCAGATGTTATGAAGTGCCTTAGAATGGTTGCTTAACCATGCAAACTTACGTGTTATGATAGGCCAAGATGTTTTTCGTGGAAAATTACCCACATCCTGTAGATCTGATGCTTTAACACCAAATTCTTCCTTATACGTGGCACTAGGAGGTTTTTCAGTGGATACGTTGGTTGTTGATGCTGTTCCATCTGATCCAGTTCTTCTATGCTCTGCTACACATGCAAATGTAATATAGCTTCTCAGTTTTACAGGAATGAAATATAAAAATATATTCAGTAGTTTCCTGACATTTCATGTTTCAAGTTGTGGCTTAGAACATTAAAACATCTACAGATCATTCAGATATTACTGGATGAAACAGGAAACTAATTAAGATTTGTTTTTGAACACATCCAATCAAAATCAACTTCAGGCCTCTCGTACTGGCAGTTTTATTATGCACCTGATTAATCTGCCCAGAATAAGTTCAACATAGGTCAAATTCTTCAGTAAAATTTTACATTGGAAACCAACAATGACAAGAAGATGACCTTCTTCAAAGTAATTTCATCTAATTCTATTAATTAAACAAAATATATTTCAGCAACAGAGATTCAAAATCAAACATATAAAAAGAATTTTGATATGGTTTCTGACTGTTCCTTTTCCTCAGAAATACTTATAAACTAAATTGTAACAATTTTATTTGAAAAATACTTTAAGGAATTTTTACACAAATTTTTTTGTTTTACTTGTTATACTACATGCTACATATTTTATTAACTTATTCCTATAGATCTAAGATGTTTCTTGATGAAGACAATGAATGTTTTACTGCTAGATGACAAGTCTTCGGTCGTTGTACATTTTTCTTGAATTATATATATACACATTTTTTTTTTATGCTGAAGACTAACAACTTATACTTCACCAGTGTGATTAAAATGCTATTGACAACACTATGTATGGTATGGTTGAAGTACTACTGACCACACTAGATACATTATGATTAAAATGCTATTGACAACACTATGTATGGTATGGTTGAAGTACTACTGACCACACTAGATACATTATGATTAAAATGCTATTGACAACACTATGTGTGGTATGGTTGAAGTACTACTGACCACTCTAGATACAGTGTGATTAAAATAATATTGATATCATTGTGTATGTTATGGTTAAACTACTACTGACAAAACTATCAACAGTGTGATTAAAATACTGGTGACAACACTAAATGCAGTGTGATTAAAATACTATTGACAACTATAGTTGAAGTATTACTGACAATACTAGATAATCACCAGTGTGATTAAAATACTGTTGACAACACTATATAGATAGTAGTATAGAGCAGCTTATTAGAAACATACTATACTACTATTAAATACAGAATAAATATTTTACAGCTATATAATAATCAATAATTCAAAACAATAAATTTATAACTATACTTTTAAAGATATTAAATTATATATATATATATATATATATATATATATGCTGCATTTCTTTACTTCTTCTGTCTTATTAAGGTAACTAAACCCAGGTGTTCTGACACTTTTGAGCAAGCTCTAAGTTCAATGTGGCGTGGGCATAATAGATTTGAATTATCCTGCCTTTTATTAATTTAGCTTGTAACTTAAAAAATGTCTATAGTATGAGCTAGAAATGTCATAAAAATAATTAGAACTTTTGTGACATTGTTTTGAGGGTGCAGGTGCCTTTAACATCTTAAAAACATTATAAAATATTTCAAATTATAAGGGTAATTTCTTTGTACTTTTGTGTCTACAACACAGCATTGAACTTAAAAACTAAAAAAAAAAAAATATTTTTTTTAATGTCATTTTGGCTATCACCTATAATAGTTATTTCCAATAAGATAAAAAAAGGAAAATTGCAAAAAAATGTTTTATTTCACAGCACAAAATCAATTATGGTTTCCCAGAATAAATCATATAATAATGCAGAACCACTAACACAAAATCATAATATTATTAAAAACTGGTGAAAACTAAGTAAATTTTTTTTAAATGAAAAATAATATTATCAACACACACACTTAACATAAATTTTACATAACAAACAGAAAATGAATCATAGCAAGGCTTACCAACACCTACTTCTACAGTTTTCACTTCAGCTACATTTGTATGAATGTTGGATGAAGTCATGTTGCTGGAGGTAGAAGTTGCAAGTCTCTGACTTCTGTCTGTACTGTCACCAGCAGCAGAGCATTCGGTGTCAGTTCTTTGTAAATTATCTGTACAGACCAAAAATATGAAAATATATGATTAAGTATTCCATACCAACAAAAATCTTAAGATGTCTTAAAGTCAAACTGAAAAGACCACATAACGACTAAGCCCTGTTATATTTACCTTCAGACCTACTTTACAGAATATACTGCAATAATACATACTACTACTGCACAATAAGCAGTGTAAGAGTTTTCTTGAAAATTTCAACACTGTAAAATGGGATTTTAAAATACTGCTAAAATATGAATTTGATTGAGATTCCATACTTCTCTTGCATATTTCTTCATGATAGTTGCCTGACTTACTACATAATAAGTTTACATCAATTTAGTTTTATCATACTTATCTTTTTCTTTCATTCTAATTAACAATATGTTTCTAATATTCATCTAAATTATTTCTTTGTCTTAGGCTATTTGTAGCCCACTTTAGTTTTCACATTACTTATGATATTTTTCTTTTTAAATTCAACCCTCTGGATTTAGGTGGGTCAAAGCACAAGTCATAACTTTTTACAGTGGTACATTCAAAATTTAAGTAATACAATTTTATTATCAATTTATGTCAATAAACTTGGCATCAAAACACAGTTTATAATCCAATATTTAATATACAAGATTTAATTTCTTAATTTCATAAGGATATATTTAAATAAATTCTCAATCTCCACTTCTCTGTACCATGTGGCCTTTCTTTTCTCTGAAATTATCAATTTTAGGTTTTATTTCTACCACTATACAATTTTCTGAATGTACCACTAATTACACACTTATGCTATAAACATTACTAAGCCATAACATAAATTTATAGCTTCTTGCTTTACTAAGATATTAAAAAGAAAATTAAACTTGAATGCAATATCCCTCCCATCTTATATTTCACTAAATGTTAATAATTCTCTGTGACATTTATTAACGGATTATTTATAACCAATAGAAAGAACAGATTCTGTCTTACAAGATTCATTATGAGGAAAATTAACCTACGCACCAGGTTAGAAAGTACTTACCCTCAGTTTCGTTGTTTGCTTTCATAGTGTTAAGCTCAACCAGCTAAAATAATTTTCTTTAACTTATTTATAGCTTAGTTAGAAAGCCAGTTAAATTAAAGTAGTTTAGGGCATTCTATTTTTTGTGTTTAATAACGTTTTGTTTTTTAAATTGTAATTTGAAAAAAAGATATATATTTTGGACCCTCAACATTGTTAAAAAAGAAAGTAGGCCTACAGTGCTTTGTCCGTGGACAGCAAAAAGTCGGAGTTCAGACAGTAAATATTAAATTTCTTAATTCATATATGTTTTGATAAAAGTAACTAATAATTAAAAATTAAAACTATTTAGGTGAGATAAGAAAACTTAAATGAAAAAATCAAATAACAAATTTCTCATGGTACTCTAAATCTTAGCATGTTTACACCTTGTTGCATGATTGTAATTTGATTGTGAGGTACTTGTGACTTGATCATTTGTTTACACAAAACTGTCCAGCTATGATAAATGGCTTTCTGCATACTCTGAGAGGGTCTAAGTGCAGTTGTAAAGTTAGAGAACTAAATAAGCCCAGATTTGAAAAGTCTATTAGCTATAGCTATAAGAATAAATAGTGTGTAATTGTCTATTACAATATGCAGTCACTGTAGAAATAAAATAAAGGGTAATTTAGATTAATTTAATATTTTTCAACTTTCCAAATTACCTAACACTTCTGATTTCACTACAGTTTTAGGGTAGAGAAAATAAGATAAAATTTTGCTAATAAAAACTTTTGATATTCATTTAGGAGGTTCTAGAAGTTAAGCAATTGAAAAATGAAAATATAAGATGAAAAGAAGTTTTTTCTTAGCATGAAAACTATCATTGAAACTGACTCAGTAAAGGCCTCATAAATTCCCAGACAAATCTTTAATAAAAATAATCTATAAAAAATCTGACTGCATAGAAAAGACTTGTAATGTTTACTGAAACTGTGTAAAAGTTTATTAAAAAACACATAGTACAGGGTGGTCAAAAAGTCTGGAACCATAGGTGATTTGCAGCTTTTCTAAATTTCAGATACATGACTGAGTATGGCAATGTTAAAACATGAGAAGGTTGAATTAATCCTGTTGTGTGGCAAAAAAGGTTGGCTCCAGTAGAAGGTTGCTGCCAAACTTAATGCATGTGTGTAGAAGATCAGGGAAACTGAACATCTGAAACAAGAAATTCACAACAAGTGCCTAAGAGTTATTGTATGTATAGTTTCACAGTTACAAGGGGACTCAAATTGATTACACCTGGATAGAGAGTGTTATTTCTCTAGTTTTACATCTTCCTTGAAACAATCACTATATCTTTCACATTTCTCTTTTCCACTCTATTCCATCTTTTTGTACACTAGAGGTCACTCATGCCATCAATATTCAAAACAGCAGGGAACCTAAACATTTTTTTGCTGTCATAGTCAGCTGCTGTTCATACACATGACCTTACTGAAGATCATTTTACATTCTCTGATAGATTGTTTAGGCAGAGTATTCATGATGAAACTTGGTTGAATGGATAGCAACTGCCTGTTGTAGAAACCAACCAATCATAACACGCTCTCCACGATCCACCAGAGTACTATAAAGACTGACTACACCATACACACATTGACCTGAAGACGAAAGGCAGAAGAGATTTGAAACGTCATCCTCTACACTTGTGTTTCTACAACGGGCAGTTGCTGTCCATTCAACAAAGTTTCATCACTTTACATTTTTTACTCATTCAATTTGAAGATGGAAGATCTATCTTCTGAATGAGCTCATGATATTGAGGATTTAATTTTATGATTAATCTAATTTTTTATCGCAAATATTACTTAGTGTTCTGAATTTTAAAAGAAAATATCCAAGTATATAGGTATTAAATGTAAAGTTTACAATGCTTAATTATTTTATATTCATCTGCTCAGTCTCAGTTGCACCAGAACTTTGGTATTGTCAGTGGTAATAATCATTGGATATTCAAATGATGAGCATCTGTTATAATGTTTTCTGTTTCTTTGTTTTAAGCCACATCCCTGCAGATAACATATGAAAATAAAATACGATTTATATAGGTTAGAAGAAAAAAAACTCATTTACTAAACCCTAAAACACAAATTTGTATATTTTTGGCTTTTGCATTGACTTCTAAAGTTAATTGATAAGAAATAAGTGTGTTAGCCAACAGATTAAAAAATATCATCACAGCTTTATCAAATGCCTCACAAATAACAAAAAGCATGCATAATTAAAAAATATAGAAAAATATGAATCACATAAATAACAAAGAATCTAATAGGAAAATGAACCAAACATAAACCCTATTATATTTATATTGTTTTTAATTACATTCTTATCTGTAATTAATTGCCATTTTGGTCAACAAAATTTATCAGTTGTAGCATATTTCACAGTAAAAGAAATCAATTTTTTTTTATTCAAAAATTTATATAACTTGAATTTAGGTTTGGTACTAGTCTTATAAGAGGTTTCTGACAAGACTGGTTTGGAAGCTTCTACCTTGAAAATATAATTGTATGAATAAATTACAAAAAAAAAATATTATTTACCATTGTGTGAAATGGGATAAGTAATTGGTTGATCCCCACCAGGAAAAAAAGAAGAAAGTTTATTCATTGTTTCTTCAACTTCTGTCATTGAAGGTCGATTACTAGGTTCTTTGTCCCAACACCTGACATAAAATTTTCATAGATAATACAATTGTTAGCACGATACTACTGTTTAATACAGCTGTATTGCTACAATGTGAGTCTTCAAAGTTCTCTCTAGAAAAATGTTTTTGGATATAACAGTTTTTATTAACAGAAATTTTTGAAGTTAGAAAAAAAATACTGTGTTTGACATAAAGAAATTTTATACCAAACTTTGGTTAATTAATTCTAACAGGGCACTTCTAGGTTTAACAAGTTACACTTATTACCCACAACTTGTAGTGAAAAAAATTTTTTGTTTCGTTTAAGAAAAAAAGCCACAATAGGCTATATGCTGTGTTCACAGCAGGAAATTGAACCCCGGATTTTAACATTGTAAATCCTAAAACTTACCACTGTCCCATTGGGGACAAAACAAAATTAATAGGATTTGAAGAATCAATTATGACAGAATAAAATCATATGTTTTGAAACTGTTAATGAGCAATAAAAGATTGTCTGAATTTCATGGATGTTCTTTTATTTTTAAAATTTGTTCACACAAAAATGTAGATCTTTGATTTTGAAATAAAACAAATTGAAGTGAGTGGATTTCAACTCAGAGAATTACCTTTATGTTTTAACAAATATCTTATTGTTTTTCTATCACTGAAAGTTGACTATTTGTTTCTATGTCCCAACACCTGACAGAGAATTATCACACTACTGATTTAACACAGCATACATATTTAGACATTGCATGACATAACCTAAAATTTTGTTTACTCTAAACTCTCCATACTCCCTCTGTATAATTTCTTTGTATTTGCAGTAGTTGGACACGGTTCAAAGAACAATAATAATAAATGAAAACAGATCATTGTTTCTTCAACTTCTGTCATTTGTTTTATATAAAATTATATAAATAAAGCTTCTGTATCATGTATCCTCTGCCTATCCTATCTATTTTTCGACCATGTGTATACATTTTCATTTCTTATCTCTTAGTATCAGTTTCTAGCAGCTTAAGCTTTATTTCACTATTATTAATGTTACTGCCTAGCCAGGGGAGAGCATATCAAGTACAATCCTCACATAATTCTTCCTGCCTTTATTACTAAAAAATTGTCTTGGCAGAAATATGTTTAAAGCTAACAGTTTTAGTGGCTCTGTTTGCTAAAATTTATGCAAAACTTCAAAGAATAAATTTTGACTGGTTATTAAAAATCTTCTGAGTGAATGTGGAGAAGTGTATAATAATATGTCAACCACACTATATATGCTATGTGTATGGCCAACTAATATGATGTATTCACATTTTCCTACATGCAGGGGTGGAGTTCAAAGTGTACATGTCATGACTTTTACAGAGTTACATTCAATACGTAATTTAAAAACTTTATTATCAACAAAACTGGCATCAAAACAGTTTATTTGTTTGTTTTAAGTTATGCACAAAACAACATAATGGGCTATCTGTGCTCTGCCCATCACAAGTATCGATACTTAATTTCTAGCATAGTAAGTCCACAGACATACCACTGTATCACTAGGGGGCAAAACAGTTTATAATTCAAATTTTGATATTACATAAATTTTATAACTTCTTTCAAAAAGAAATACGTAAATAAATTCCCAATCTTTACTTTATGTACCACGTAATGATCTTTCTGCTTTGAACTCGTTTTAGATTTTCTTTCTTCCCTTATACGGATTTCAGAACATCCACCAACTAAAGATATTGGCAAGTCAGAACTTACAATAAGAAACTTTGACCTTCTATATTTTTTAAGATATTAATAACCATTTTACACGGAAGATCATCCAAACTTTGAATATACTTACTTGTTTTTAGACAACCAACTTAGAGAGAAAAATTTAGGATAAATGAAAACTGGCTTCCTAAAGCAAAAGGACTTCAATCCTGAAAGGATTAGGAAAATGATATCTTTCAAAATAAACATACCTCCACTGCCACTTATAGCTAGAATCCCACATTGAAAAGGTGGAGGGGCCAGTGAGGGAATAGTTCAGACAGAAAGCATCTTCATAGAACAAAGGTGTACCACAAGAAGTGGTGCACAAGTGGGGAAAACCGCACTACATCCAGAACAGGTATGCTCTTCACCCAGAACTACAGAAAAGTGAAGAGGGTGGAATATTAGACAAGTAAGTATGATGGGCCAGCCCCAACCACGCAGCAGAGGTTCCACGGCTCTGGGCTGGATTTAAGGGGTTGTGGTACCCATATCCCAGATTGGTGGCCAGGGCAGTTGGACCACAAATATATTGTTGCGTATCTGCTCGTTTGTTAATTTCCGGTATAACTTCTTTCCGAGGAACTTTGGCAATACAAGTCCTTTCTTAATTAAAACTGTTTATTCTTTCTTGATACAAATTTTAGTAATACACAGAATTTCCACAGTCACTTTAAACTTAACAACCTTTGTAACACACGTTATAAATCACAGTGATTCACACACTTTACTTACGGTGCCTACTGTTCGCTTGACTCAATTTTCTCTATCTTCAATCTATCTACATATCTATCTATCGCTGACTTTATTTGCCAGACTTATATACTAAAAAAGAGGGCATCTGGCAAACACTCAGACATTCGCGAGGTTCCTCGATAAGTCATGATCCTTCTAGAAACTCCAGCGTCGCGTGACTTACGCTGTCATAACAATATACACATCTTTGTGATGGAAAATCCTTCTGATCAACCTGAAGAAGTCCAAAAGGCAACATCCCAGGCTCGGATTGACGAGATAATACATGCCGTGCTCCACCCAAGGTCCATACCCCATCTGGTCTGGATTTATGAATAGCCATCTTCACTCCCCAACCAAGTGGACAAGGAGAATTACACTTACCCATGGAATTATGGAGAGGATGTGGAACACTGTTCCACCAAAGGCCCAAGATGGGACCGCGTCTCATTTGGATTTACAAGGAGATAGTGGGCCCCCTGTATGAACAACCTAAGACCTGACAATGTTCATAAGAAGGTCCAAGCACATCCCCACTGATTAGCCAAATGTCAAACTTGGACTAGTTTTATGAGTAGGTTCCTGCATAACTTGCTCCTGCTCCCACCGACATCTGGGAAAAATTTCCAGGAACCCAGGTATGAGGGTCCCCATCTTCGCCCTCTTCTCTGTCCACCACCCTGGGAACAAGCTCCACTAGTATAATTTGGGGGGGGGGGCATATGTGCAGTGGGGAGTCCCGAGGAACAGGTCTCCAGAAACAATGCAACAGGTGAACCACATTCCCTAAGTTTTAAAAACAAACCGATCTTGATTCAGCTCAAAGATCAGCAGGGACTGGCAAAATTCCCCTTTTAGGTTTACTCATGGTAGTCCATGAGTAGCAGTCCATTGGATTTGTATTGTGAGATAATACTACCATCCAGAATTGCATCCAGATGGTCTTATGGAACGAACATTCCGTTTCGACAGAGCTCATTGCAACCAAGAACTGATATAAAGGTTGCTAGTGCAAAATTAAAAAAAAATACAAGCACTCCTGAGATAGGAAAGTGTTAGGAGAAGTCCACATACTGGCCCACAAAATATCCTCCACAAGACAGTTCTAACAAGTAGCCAATGATGTTGATTGATGCCGAATCTGGTGAGAAGTGACGTGGAGCATATTTCGATCTTCAACAGATAACCCCGACCAGGTTATATTAATCAGCTTCCGAAGCCTCCTGATTAACCCTATCGGCCCCTGGTATCCTTTACTGTGCATGACACAAGGTTTTAGAGCCTTACATTCAAAATTTTATTATACTACTTTTTGTTTATGTTATACAAATTAGAATAGCTAATAAGGTTAGCTAATAATCCATATTTTAATAGTATACAAGTTTTAAGTTCTTAATTCTACAAGGGAATATTTTTAAAAATCCTGAATTTCCAATAATGTGACCCACGTGACACATTTTGTCTTAGCATATCATCATCCCTATTTTATCCATCACTCCTCGAAAATGTACGAAATTAAATGTAAGTTACTCTATATAAAATCATTATTACTCATACAAACCATAATTTATTATAGTTTTCAATTTTGTTTGGTTACAGAGCTATCGAATAGAAAATCAGAACCCTCCTTCCACACCCACTTGTCACATTCTCTCTTTCACAATTTGTTAATAGTTCTCTTGTAAGTTTCATTACATATTACCCATAACCAATAGAAAGTCAAGGTTTTCATCTATCAAATGGCATATTGTATAACTTTGTCTTTTGAACAGGAAAGCATCTATTTCACTCACAGTACAAGCTTTGTTTCCATGAGAAAGTTACCGACTAGCTTGGATGAATTTGTAATGGTTCTTGTAGCATAGTTAGAAAGTCAGAAAAATTTTGAGAGGTAATAGAATTTGTCTACTTTTTGCATGTTATTAGTTTATATTCTTTGGTGCATTATTTAATTAAAT